AGAAGGTGATCTCTCCAAGCCTCCTTCCTTTCACACCCCTCACACAAATATCAAGCACAGCAAGCACAGCCGAAGGATCAAGTAATAATAACCCCTTCCCCACCCGAAAAAATTATCTATCATATCGAGCGCTCATAACCGATTATATCCGTATTTATTTCGTGTGGCATATCTCCATCTGACTGGATGAAAGTAGTGTGACACCCGTTTGAGGGCTGGCTAGCTGGTTGGCCCTGGCGGAAGGAGAAACGGTAGGAAAATTTCCCGGAGCGGACCGCACTTATGATTTGATTGGATGATGTAATGTGTGCAAGTAGCAAGTGGGTGGCTAAGCAAGTAAGTAAGTACGAAAGAAGTACGATACACATTCGACATATCAATACACGGAAGAGGAAGAGATGTCGTCGAGTGAATCAAAGATCTGCAGACAAGACTTCACGATCCGCACGTGCAGTACTAGAGAGACATACTTGGAGCATTCGGTACAGAGTTGATATCTAACCGATGGAGAAAACGGATAAGTCGGGTACCCTACTTTCGGGCCACCCCTGTTTTGGGCCACCCTTTTACACCAAAAATCACTTTTTAGGCCTATTAATATCTCTATTAATATACAATGTAATTTATTGAAAATTCATATATATATAATTTAGATCGATTTAAGCCTATTCTGAAACTTTCAGATTTTTAGGATTTTTCTGTATCGAGATCTAGAGCTTCAAAATATCGATTTTTTAATTTGTATAGGAATTATATACAAATTTAGAAATTTTATAAAATCTTTAATAACTTTTTAACAACAATTATTAAAAGAAAACCATATATATTTTTGAGATATTTAAACTTGAATCTATATAGAGATTCAAAAAAAATTCGAAAAAATTAACAGATATAAAGATATAATATACAGTAAATTTAGAGTAGTATAAATAATCCTTATCATTTTGAGGGTACCCCTATAAATATTTATTTATAAAAGATTTTTTATTTTTTCCGAATCTCTTAGATAAAGTATATTATAAATTTATAATAAAATTTTATAGTTTATTTTTAACAATTTTTGTCAAAAAGTTATTAAAGATTTTATAAAATTTTCAAATTTGTATATGATTCCCATACAAATTTGAAAATCGATATTTTGAAGCTCTATATCTCAATACAAAAAAATCCTAAAAATCTGAAAATTTCAAATTAAACTTCAATCGATCTAAATTATATATACACAAATTTTCATTAAATTCTATTCATAAATAAAAAAGTTATAAATTCCATTTTTAATATATTTTAGATATAAAAAGTAGCCCAAAAGGGGGGTAGCCCGAAAGTAGGGTACCCGACTTATATACTCCCTTTGTTATCCTACGCCAGTGTAATGTCTTGTAACTTGTCTCAACTCAATTATTCAGGTGCGTTTGGTGTATTCTGTAGAATTGAAACAAAAACACTGGTTAAGATCTCACCGCCCCACCGCGGGAGTAACCTAAATCTAAAGTTCACCTACCTACCTATGTACTCACAGCCTCTCAAATCGAGTTCCTCTCCATCCATGCCACGAATCCGGATGTAGGAGATGGTTCTTCCACACAATGTTGTGCATAACCAAGCTACTTTTTAAATTAACTTTGTTAGCTGCGACGGGGAAATACATGAACGTTCCGAGTCGATGTTTCCATGGTACACATGTGAAGTAACGGTACATCGCTCAATGGTAAATATGACAGTTCTCGTAAGTGTACCTTCCCCCGGTCGAGAAGGAGCCGGAAAAGAAGAGTTCGGGGAGTCGGAGAGCATGGGAATGTAGGATCGATCGCGAATCGGAAGTTCGTTCGCGCGCGGGAAGATATACGTTCGCCGCTAGCCTACATCAATTATTCCCATGCGCGAGGCTATCTGTCCGCGTTGAGCTTCATCTTTGCTGAGTGGCGGATTGAATTCTATTGAGAGATAAGAGAGTGTTGAGGTATTTGGTCACAGTTTGTATTCGTACAAGGTGAGCTGCAGTTTCTGGTATCCCGGTTTGAAGCACTGCGAAAACAACAAATGCATGCTTGAATTTCTCTGAAATTACACATGTTCGAAACAAATGCAAGCCAGAGGCGAAGGTATCTGCAGTTGATTCCAGATGCGACCAATTCAGGGAACCTCACATGGTTCACCCAAAGTGATTTTAATGGAGAAGTGCTCGAGTACGTACAGAGTATGTAATGCAACAAAAGTTACCTAGGTAATGATAGCCAGCAGCCTGTATGAAGGATCGGCCCGTTCAGTAATCGCGTTTCGATGATCAAGAATCTCCTTTCGGTAAGCACGATCACATCGTGTCACTCCGTAACTGAACTGCCGAAACTTGGTTCGAGATAATGAGGAACGAATGATTTTTTCTCTATAGATTCACCATATCATCTGAGGTCGTACGAGATGTGGAGTATCGAGTGACTTTTGTAAGTTGTGGCATTGAAGATTGCTAGCGAACAGGGTCAACAGGGGCTTAGATTAGTCTTGCATGATGCAGTGTTACTTCAACAGGTGCAGAATCAATCACATTGCGTATGGAGAAATTACTTGTTTAGTGAGAACTCCCGAAATGTGAATATAATGAATAATCTTTAATAGGTTGATTGGTAAATGTAGTATTAGATGTTAAAACGCCCACGTGCATAAATCTTATCTGCAGCGGAGGTTCTTGAGCCGAAATTACAGTTAGATTTTTTAGAAGATTGAAAAACTCAATGTAAATTTCTACGAACATTTCTACGAACATTGGAAATATAATAGCAAGAGATCTTGACAAAAACGATTTGTTGCATCGTTTTTAACGACCGTATTGCGTAATTAGGCGACATTTGAGTTCAGCAGCACACAAGCTTTCGAGAACAGTGGAACGCTGAAGCTATTCAGAGACAAATGAGGTCATGTTTGAATGACAATGATGATATCTCAAACTCTAATTGATGTTTCAGGAAATACTAAAATTTCCTATTGGTGTTGTCAAGATCAATCCACTCTTCTCTAACGGCTTCTCTGCGGTTGAGCCCAAATTTGAGCCATGAACATGCTCATCCTTATGAGATCCACCTTGTGGGTCACGACGGTGCCATTCCGAATAGTCTTGTATGACTTCAACAATACCCAATCGAGAAATGAGTGTTAGAATTCGGCTGGATGCACTTCGGGAATTGCCTAAAGTAAAGGCGAGAGATTTGCACTGACAGGGACTCATCAAGTCCCTGAATTCATTGACGTGTTTCTCGGATCGTAATGAATCTCCGGAGTATACTCGTCTCCAACGATACCCACCTGGAAGTCAACTCTGAAATAAAATTGTACCTGTCAGACTTCCAGGCTGATCTACTTCGGGATGCTTTAGCCGGTGTACAACTGAGGCACGAGAAAGCATGTTACAGTACTTGTGTAATTCCGCTTAAACTTCTTCTTGGCCCTTCTGCATTCGGATACTATTTCCATGATTGTAACTAGGGCTTGCATTCGACTAGCCAAGGGTGCCAATCCATAAAAACCACTTGCATAACCCGCATCTCACCGTTTGCTCCCTGGTGAAGGATGATTTACCAGGCTTTCATTCCTTTGGACCATTGTATCGGTAGCACCATATCGATTTCGGAAAGCCGATCGTCAGCTGAACCTACCATTGTTCCATGGGTGTTTATCGAAAGAAGGAGCATGGATTCTCGTTTTGTACAGAGTACGGTGATGATACGAGGCTACAAATATCCGATAATATGCCAGCTATCTAATGATTAACTGTAAGCGGAAGTATTCCGTTATGTACGAAAGTGTGTCATGATAACGTTTGTAAGCTTTGTATTAATGAGATATGTTGTGTATCTTGAGGATATATATTGCATTGTTGAGGATGGTGAAGGAGGATGGTGAAGGAGGCTCGCGACCTCGAGAAAAAGCCGGACACCAACCCTGCAAAAATAAAAGAAAATCTAGAAATAATCTTTTTCAAAATTTAATATAAATTTCTCTATATTTTATAATATTCTGAAAACTGAAGCTTTAAAATTTTTCTTTAATAAATTATTAATATATATAATTTCAATCAAAAAATTAAATCTGTTATTTTGATATTGAATTTTAATTAAGATGTAGAATTTTGGTGAACGGCTTTTCCTCGAGGTCGCGAGGGAGGATGATGATGGAGGATGATGATGGAGGCTGAATAAAATCTTGTTGGGATAATAGATCATGGATGGATAGAAGTTGAGGTGGCGTGAGTAGTGGCTTTAGTGCGTGAGTAGACACTAAAGTTTTAGCGGCCGATAGCCTAATTCCTAACGCTTACCTAGTGATTGAAGAAAATGATCATCATCAATACATTTCGCAATTTAGCCATCTAACTTGAAGTCTATCAAGTCTATCAAGTCTATGAGGTTCTAAAAGTCCATTGCGCAAGTATAATCGCAACTTTGAGTGAGCTCACTATCATCAAATATCTTGATGACTGTCAAAACATGCTTATGTTCAGTTACTTTCTATTTCTCATCTAATCGATGGCAACAACCATCCGTATTCATGTATGATTTCGCAATTGCTCTCTCATCATGCGTCCAATCTTACCACGCCGAGACCTTGGTGAAGGAAGTTTCCTATACCCAAACAAAGTAATCAATGGTTGACGCTGACGCTGATGATGTTCTGTCACCTCAGTCTTCAAATATGATACCTTGATTGCAAATCAAGACTCCATTCATTCATTCTCATACAAAGTCACGCCTCTTCAAATGCATGCACGACTAAGCACCCCGCTCTATTCACATGTTTGCGTACCACGATTACCAATTTGTTATCGTCAATTGAGGGGCAAAATTACTTCCAACTGCCTTATAGAGACGTGTTAATAATATTCTGTATACCACTTTTGATTCCACAGCATCTTTTGATCGGAAAATATATTGAAATCGGATACTATTTGTCCTTTGTATCACCCGTTGAGAAAATAACCCGGGGTTATACCATTACCGAAAAAATTAAACATGTCGAAGATATTCATGTACGTTCTATTGATTCTTGGTTCTCTCTCATAGTTTATCCGGAATGTGTTGTACGAATGGAACTTGGTTTTGTCGAGTCAGTTTGCTAATTCATTCACTGTAGTATCGGTGCAACAGGTCATATTGGTGGTGCTGTGTTGGATCTCGTCTATCCGAAGTATACAGATGTCCATATCAAAGCATTGGTACGAGAAGAGGAGAAAGGCAAAATGCTTGTGGGCAAGTACCCGCGAGTAACTTTTGTTGTTGGAGATTTGACATCTTTGGATCTCTTGACTAGAGAGGCGAAAGAAGCGGATATTGTTATCAGTGAGTGACCGTGTACTTGGTCTACCGGATTTGTTGGAGTGAGACTCCCCCTCCTATTGTCGCTTATGGCGAGAAGATGAACGGGTACCTGGATCCAACCCCCCTCTGATTTACATCGGGAAAAGAGTACCATGATATCCAGTGATGTTGAAAATGATAAACCTTGTCTCTTGTAGTGAGAGCTAAGATCAAAGTTAGTCTTTGGACTGGGTCAATCTCTGACTGTTTAATATGGATACACTTCCAAAGCTTCATCCATATCTACATCTCCCATCCAAAATTACCCAAAATAGTTCACTAAACTTCATTATAGATACAGGACCCGACGTCAAACAAGATGTAGCTATCTCAGCTATCCTTGAAGGATCGGCCAACCACTCCCCAAAAGCATATTACATCCATACTGCCGGCACATCGCTCATCTGGGAATCACCCGGCACCTCTCAAATCGAACCAAAGATCTTTGACGACGTACTCGATATCCAAGCGTTGAAATCTTTCCCACCCACCGCGCTCCACGCTACTTCCAACGCCGTATGCTCCCCTTACTTTCCCCTCCTTTCCCCACAATACTAACAAACCCCCAGCTCGTATTCGCCGCATGCCCTTCTACAAACATAGCCATCATCTCCCCCACCGTCGTCCACGGTCTCTCCCCCTCTCCCCTCCACCCCACCCCCATTTCTCTCCCTCCCCTCCTCTCCGCCATCACAACCACCCACTCCGGTTTCACCATCTCCCCCACCACAAATCTCCAATCCCACATCCACGTTCTCGATCTCGCTCAAATCTACCTATCTCTCCTCTCCTCCGCGCTCAACGACCCATTTCCCGATCCTCAAAAATGGGGTCCTGAAGCTTTCTATTTCGCCGCATCAGAAGACCTTTCTTTCGGAGAATACATGACATTTCTTATCTCAAAGCTGTCAAACCCACCATATAAGTTGGTGCACGAGACACAGATCAAGGAACTCCCATTCTCGGAAGCGGTAAAAGTGGTGGGGACCCTGACAGCGTATTTGTTCGGGATAAATATGCAAGTGAGATGTACGAGGGCGAAGGAGGTATTGGGATGGGTACCGAGGGCGAAGAAGGTGGAGGAGGGGTTGGATGAGGTTCTTGAGATTTACTATAAGGAAAGGGATGATGGGGCTGGAATGCAGGAATTGGATGATACATACGGGTTGTAATATTTTGTATAGACCCTTGTATCTAGATGAGGGAATCTTGATTACAGATTCCGTGGTTCTCGGAGGGGTATTGTGTAATCAGAATTATTTTCTTTCGCATTAGATATCAGGTCTCATAGATGTAAAGTTAGAAGGGAGATCCCGTTTTCTTCGAAATGATATCTTCAGCATCTCCACAATTCTATTGAGCAACAATTTTATGGCATTAGCAGAATGTGTAGTCGTAAATACCGTGAGAAGAGCAGTAGGAGTGTGGGAGTCGCTATCAGATATTGAATGAGCTTCCATTCAATGTGAATACCTAGTCAAAGTTATCAGAACAACTACACCTCTTCTGAGTATACATACCAAGTATATACATTATAATCGTAATTTTACACGTATATTCCATACCGTTTCATCTTTCTCGGCCTTCTGAACCATGCGTGTTCATCAACTTATCACTATCCTGCTCTCCCTAATTCCTCTGCAGTTAAATGTGAGCTCACCAATATGGAACTCCGTCTCAGATCTCTAATATCCCCTACTCTGAAACCCTCTCATCTTTCACTACGATATACTATCATCTGGTATTCATTCAATTCCATTAAAATTACACCTTAAGATACACTAATCAACACATCATCCTCCTCTCATATCTCATGCCTGACCATCCTCCAATCCCTCATAATCCCTCCCTTCCTGTAACAATCATGACTATCATCTGATTAATGTAAACCCCAATGCTAGAATCTAGTACATACAAACCAATGAACACTATTCCCAATCCCTGATATCTAGAAATATCTCATAGAGAATTCTAATCTCCAATTCCATTCCTTATCCTAATTCCCATCCCATTCCAACCCATCCCATTAATACCGATCGTATTTCTCCGTACTAATCATGATATGCTTTTTTCTCTCCCCTTTCTTCCCCCCCTCTCCATTCTCCCCCTTCTTCCCAGCCCTCGCTCTCTTAGCCCTCGGTTCCTCAAACCACCCTTCCTTCCTCCAATCAATCTTCTCCAATATCCTCTCCACCCCGCTCTCCCGATCCCTTCTCCCCCTCACACCTCTCACATCCCTCGCCACAAACCCCTCAAAGACTCTTCTCCTCGTATCTCTCCCTCCCTTCTTAACCCCCACCCTCACACTCGCATCCTTCAAAAATGGCGCTCCGGACACCTTCCTCAATCCCTCTTTCTCCGCCCTCGCACCTTCCAGTAACCAAGACCTCATCCATTCTTTCCTCCTATAAACCTCTGGGCTTTCTCGCACAAATGGTTTATATCTATCTAACCATTTAATTCCCTCCGCGTACAGTATTCCCTGACCATCTTCTAGTACCATTTGCTTTTTGTATCGCTGCAATGTGTGCGCTTGAAGCCTAAAGTGTTTTCGAAGAATTTGTTCGCGACGACGATAGCTAACTAATTTGTGTTTATGAGATAGAGAAGATTTGTTGTGGTGGGAGCGTTTGCTAAAGATGCGGGAAGGATTAAAACTGTTGAGGAGGGTGGCTAAAGCTATTTTAAGAGGAGAATTGTCAGTACATATACTTCATAATCAATGAATAAAAAAATGAAAATACTTACTACCAGTTTTATGTTGCCTCCCAACTGTCCCGTCCTTTTCAGATACAGATTTCTCCTTTCCCTCTTTCTTAGAAAGTATAGAAACAGGTACTTTCTGCGATTTTCCCTGCAGATCGAGCAAATTAGGAGTCGTGGCACTCTTCCCTACAAATATCGCACTAATATTTGCTCCCGCATTCATAAAAAGCTTTCCGAATTTCCCAGAGCTCGGTGTCGTTGGAGCTTGTAACATCTGTTCCTCATCATCCGCAAACGATGCTGTCTTTGAAAGCTTTGATGCCGTTTTCTTGAGTTGCAAAGGATTTGACTCATTAGACTCTTTAGAAGAAATCTTGTCGATAGAAACTCTGTGTTTCATTAATTGTTGAGATGGGATTTGAGCCTTTGCATGTTCGAGCTTGAGACGATGTTCATGTTCTAATGCAATATCGAGATCAGTTTCCCAGCCGCCAAAACTTATTTGCTTTTTGAGGGGTGGAGGGATAAATCCGTATACTTTGTTTGCGGGAGATATAGGACTTGGGTTTGATATTGCTGAAGATTTTCTAGCTGTGTTGACTCGGATCACCGGTTTCGATATTATAGAAGACTCTTTTATAATTGGGGTTTTGGCAGCTTCGGCAGGAGAGTAGAATGATTGAGAGGCGTCATCCTGGTTGATTGGAATTCTATTAGACGGGACTGGAAATCTGTATGGCTCTCTACAAGCAGTGGCTGTATGGGCCGAATATGCCGTGCAGTTTTGCTGTGAACCATCAAATATGCCTCCCATATCTTGAGATTTAGATGTCAGAGCCGATTGTGTAGATTTATCTTTCTCTTTTCCACAATCTCTGCGAGGAAATAGACCCAAGCTCTTTTGCTTCTTCAAAATTGCTCGTTCGGGAAGATCCACAGTATCATTTGCTGGTTCGCTTCCTCTACGAGGAAATAAGCCCAGACTCTTCTGCTTCTTCAGTATCTGCTTAGGCAATGGCGGTGGTGGAAAATTCACGCAAGAATCTGTCGGAGTAATAGGGGATAAACGAGAAAAAGTAGTGGTTGAATTTGCGTTCGGTATCGAAATGCCAAGTGCATTATCACCACTCTTGATACCAGTGGACTTGGAACTTTCAGAAGATTTCCTTGGGGTCTTTGAACGTTCGGATGATTGTCTAGGAGTTTTCGGAGTTGTGTTCTCTTGGCATGTTTCGGTGTCCTCAAATCTGACAGACTTTAAACTCTCAATAGATTTCCTACAGACTACGGTCGCCATACTACTCTTCTTCCTTAATCTGGGTTGAAACACTGCAGAAGGCTCATATGGACTAGCCAAGAATGAAAGATTGGCACTTGGAGAAATTTGTGGTAGAAAGGTGTCTCCAGCAACCGCATCTATCGGATTTTCCCTCGCAACGGAAGTTATGTTCTTGGTCGCACGATCTGCCATGGCCTCGCATTGAAGATCATTATAAGGCCTCGACTTCATGAGTTTCTTTGGTTTTTGTCGAGTTTCCGTACGCGGAGATAGTGTATCAAGATTCAATGGTGAGGGTATAGGTGCTTTTGAAGTAGACAGCGATGTCTTTGGTGTTTGGTCTTCAATAGAAGAATTGTGCAAAGCAGTTCTATGAAGTTGAGTTCCAGGAGTTGGTGTGATAGGACTTCCTTGTCTCATTGATAGAGGCGACTGTGAGATTGATGGGAGTGGACTTGGGGTTTGCATCTCCGCATCGGCAGCATCATGTAGCGGCGTTTTACGAAGCTTGATTCTGGGAGTCGAGATTGCTGAAGTAGCTTGAGGTAGAGGAAATGTATGCTCGCGGCTGGCAGGGTGCGATTCTGACTCCAAATCTGTAGTAAAATCCCGCAATGGTGTTTTACGTAGTTGAAGTTTTCGAGAAGCGCCAATGACTGGGGTAACCTGCTGCGAGATCAGTGGAGAAACAGCCATTGAAGATGCGCCACTCAAAGCCCGGCTCCTAAGGCCACCGAAAGTGCCGCACGATTTCTGTGTATGGAGTGGAGGTCTATGGGTGTTTTCTGGAATAATAGCCTTCGGGGTCGAAGGATACCCAGGCAACTCTCGTAAATCCAAGGCTTGGTAAGCTTTGATTGCATCTGAATTATCTTTCAAGACATGCTCAACTTGCTTCATTGGACCGAGTCCAGTCGAAGAGCCGTGTTGCGAAACGTGTGTTGAAGAGCCAGCCCGCAAAGTATCAACTGAAGTCGCACCGCCGTCTTTGTACATTCTGCGAGACTTTACTTTTTTGGAAGCAAAACTGGAAGTCCTTGCTCGTGAGGATGAACTTGGAACTCCATTCGGGAAAGACGCCCTTCTTTCCACTGGGGCTTCTGGCCGGCACAGAACTCTCAGAAGTTTCTCATCTTCAGATAACTTTTGTGGACGAAGCTGATACTTTGGTTTAGGAGGACCTCTCGACCACGGATCAGGAAATGATTTTAGACGGAACGGCGACATCTTCTGTTGATCTTTCAATGGAACCCAAGTTTGGAAACTGCTATGATGTGCCGCTTCGGAGAATTGTTCCATGAACGGTGTGTTTAATTGAAGTATCCTTTGCTGGCTGTGCACCGATCCTCTCCCATCTCCATTTGATGACCTTGAGCTTGAGAAGCTTTGAGCATCGGGAATTTTAGGGGTTGTCACCACTGAACAGGGCGTTCTTGGCGCATTCATTGGTATGGTGTGATATTCTTCACGATATTCGTGTTGACGTTTTGGAGATGCCAACCTTTTTCGGCTGTGTACTTTTGCCTCAGCCCTGTCAGATTTTTGAGGCTCATTCATTGAGTTTGAGGTGGCCGGGTGTGATGTATCTTCCTTGCTGTTTCTGCTCCCCGTTGTGCTCTGTGAATGATGCCGAGGAGCTGGCTTTTCTGAATCGAAAGCGGTATTCTTTACCGTGACTGATTTTTCTTTTTGATCGCTTTGGAGTTCAGTACGAGCTGATGTGGATGAGGATGCGGTTGTGTTTCTAGAGTGTGCAGATCGTATACTGTATGCTATTGCAGCGCTTCTCTTGAAGAACATAATGTCGTGTATAGCGTTAGATTGCTCGATCATCTTACTGGCTAGCTCAATGTAATCTCTCAAGTTCTCTCGAGTATCAACCCAATTATGCTTGCATGCAGGGTTCTTTAAGAGGGTTTCAAACTCTTTCAAAGCTTCGATACCTTCGTGCGTCACCTGGATGATGAGATTATAGAACTTGGCTCGATGCTTTCGTAATTTGTCGCGATCAATGCGATCATTTGGGAGATCTCGAATACATGGTGGATATAATGTATTGAGCATGGCGAGAGCATTCGGCTTATAAAATGGATGAGCTTTAAGTTCATGGAGCATTGTCTATCAAATGAAGGGTCAGCATGACCAATGATCTTGAAGAGGCATATTCGCATACCCAGATTCGTAGATCAACAAAGCAAGTAGCATAGAAGCCTTCGATGATCGTCTCTTGAGCTTGAATATCTTCTACCCATTTTTTGGCATCAGGATCAGCACTCAAAACTCTTCTCCAATTGTGTTTGTCAATTTTCAAACGCAAAGCAACTTCTCTAAGAGCTTCTCGTCTTCGGCATTCAAGATCTTGGAGATAGTCAATGCCAGTGAGAGCTTGATCAAAATCCGCCTGATCTTCATCCTTTGTAAATACTCTATCCAAGCACCACTTCCTAATGAAATCAGGTGGCAGCCCTCTATTTGCTCGTCTGCCATCTGGAAGCTCTGATTCAAAGTCGATATCAAGAAGGGCTTCGTTTGAAGCATCCATGAAAGGGTCATAAGCAGCATGGTTTCGAATTGTTGATTTAATGTTTTCATCCTTAACATCATCAGGTTTTCTGGATTTGTCCTCTTTAGTAACTTCAGCTTCACTGATTTCATTCTCTTTAACATTTCCAGGTTTGCTGGTTGAGTCTTCCTTATTCTCTGGCGTTGATTTTTCCAATGAGATTAAAAAGTGTATGATAGCTGTTCCCTTTGGTTCGTACTGCCACCATTTGTGTGCTTCCTTTAATGTTGGCACCCGATGCCCTAATTATTTAATCAAGTCAGCTTTTGTTTTGAGAAACCAGGTCGGAATGCGACCCGACTTTGGCCAACAATGGGAAGAGAGAAGAAGCTTGAATAAGCGTTCACATACCTGCATTAAAGGAGAACATTATTTTCAATGGAAGTTCAGAGGATAGATGGCACTCTAATACATGGTTGATGATCCAAGGAACTCGATCTGTGTGTTTATCAATGATGGTTGTGGGAAAGTTATCGGTCGGGTCGCTTGAAGTTGAAGATAAGGAAGACCTAGTGGAAGAGATCCCATCCTGCCAGGAACCACTCGAGAAAGACTTTCTCGCCATATCATTGAGATAAAAGCCTTTAAGTTTCCTCCAATCAATGAACAGTACAACTGAATATGAATGAATTTTCTCATTGAATATTTTCGGGAATGATAACGCCAATGACAAGACGAAGATTTGAAAAGCTCTACTGAATATACTTTGGAAGGAGAGTTACAGATCTTCTTTTCTTCTTTTCTTCTTCTCTTCAACTCCCGAGGTCTTGATACATGGGTAATTTGTATAAACTCTCCAAATTGTCACCCAGCAACTATACATCAGACGATACAGCAGTATTGTTGGAATCCTTCCAATTGTGTACCAACTATAGCCTGGGAAGAATTGATGCAAGTAGCAAATGTTTGAGGGAAGTCTCTTAACGATACTATATGGAAGAGGACTTGTACTAGATACCTAGCTATCGTGTGCTTTTCTTGATACCTCAAATTGACACTCGTCGTTGACTCGGTATCCACATTTGATGTTGGCATCCGCATGGCAAACGGGGAACAGCAAGGTATCCTAGCTAGTAGATGATCCAGAGACGGAGAATTTGACATATGATGGAAAGTTCTGACTGATAGGTAGGGCTGGGAGAGATATATCATCCTACCCATCATTCGTCTGACTAGATCGAAAAGCAATGGATCATATATGTGCCCATGATCCGCTGCTTTGAGAGATCCATGCTCAATAATATTTCCTGCTCGAAATTCTTACAGTATCGCTTTATGTATTCCGGCAACTGAACAACGATCCATTCCAAGGGACTTTGGGTTGTACAAAGCGAGAGCGTATCCATATGTGGCATTGGCTGCATATTTGACATGATCATGCATTCTGACGTGCAGCTTCAAGTCGTCCAAAAGTATCCCAACGAAGACTATTTACTCCCCAACATTGTTCATGCATGGTTTGAAGGTAGAAGCAGGCAATATATTGGTTATTGAAGTGGTCGAGTATGACGGGTATCCCGCATATCTTGCATCGGAAATGTTAGCTTTCATGTCGTAATTTCTTCACCCATAAATATACCACATGGCTTTGAATAGTCGACAATGGAAAGCTACCTAGGTAGATGCAGCTCAAAAAATCATCTTAGACGAAAGGGGAAAGGACCTTAGGGTACGTGCAGGAAAGATGATGTCTAGAATGTTAATTGCCGTCACTAGTAATGCGAAGTTCCTTCTCTAGAAGCATGTAGAAGGAAGCAGTGTGAAGTGCTCTTGATGTTTACAGGTATATGTGAAACGATGGTTATATGGTTGAAGATCTGAAGATTTTACCATGGTGTTGTAAGTGGTCAATTGTGTGTCGTGGTAAGGACGGTAATGAAGGGTCACCGTACAGGAAAAATTGGGCCTAACCTTGGTTGTGTCTATTACCAGGCTAGGATCAGCATCCCCATGGATTTCATTGTCAGATCATTGTTCATGTATTATTAGATCTCGGCCGTCATCCAGCTCCATTTGATTGTGTTTCTGCACTCTGAGCTCTTTTTAGACTCTGCAGAGTTAAACCTCTCGAGGACCTGGGAGCAGATGAACGTTACAAGTCTTGAGGATGCTGCGTAGGTGGCAGTAAAGTCACACTAGAATGTTTGCAGCGAACAGTATCTCACAATTGAATCCGAACTTGTATTGACAGCTGCGGTGATCCGACGGTGTCCCGTGAGAAGAAGCAAATCTGGAGATGGTTGCTGGATGGTAATTCGCTATGCCTGCTAACAGGTAGTAATCATCCGCTCACCACCACATGGGAAGGTTACCTTTTTACTGTGGTGATCTAATTATAGGAATTCAGGAGAACCCAAGCAAAGTTCAGTTCCATTGTCTCGGTATGAACCTGAGAGATCTCGGGTTGAGATGAATCCCAAGTGCTTGCCTACCTAGAGCTTCCGTGAATATCTATCGTGCCATAATATCACTTGTTTCAGAATTCAATCACAACTTTGGTCGGAATCTTTACGAGTAATTTACCATAGCTTAAGCTCTCACGCCGCCAAGCAGATTACGAACGAACATCAAACTTTGACCAGAATTCACCAAAACCCAAAACCCCTACTAAACAACAAACACAACCACCAAAAACAAAAGTACACGGAAATGATTTCGGATGATTATATCCAATCGACACAATTTCCTTGACACTTCTTTTCCACTCCAGGTCTCTCATACATACATCCGCCCTAAGCTAGAGAAAGAAAAGGGGAAAGGGAAAGGTTAGCGATGCAACCTTCAGTCATTCAAAGAGCCGTGGTCCAGAGAACCATTCGCGCCTCTACAACGCGCTATTGGTTACAAACACGAAAGCCCATCATCACACAATCACAACTACGATGTCTCTCGAAAGATGCCGCTTCAGAACATAATTCAAATGGTTTCAATTCAGGAAAGCGTGAGTTTGTCCCTTTTTTCAATTCTCCGTCCTTGCCCTGTATTGCTTGGCATTCACTTACTTGTCTGACTCGCTCCTTTTCATCGGAAGCTGGGTTTTCAATGGGGATGTCTCAGTTTATCTACAACCTATGGCTGTCAACATTGCATAAGCTACGTTGAATGCTTCAAATAGATTAATCGGATGATACCGATCTAGATAGATGGCAGACATGCACATCTAAAAGCTACCTAGCACTTATACTGCATATTACCATCCCTTCACACGTGAATTTCACGTGCTCCCAACAACGTTTACTTCTTGCTTTTATTTTCAATTATGCTCGAAGAATATTAATCTGACAATATATACAGGTAATTCCGAGAATGAATCATCCCATAATCAATATTGGAAGGATCGAAAAGATTACTCGTCACATGATGAACCTTTCAATGCTAAGACTAAAATGCTCGACGCTGCCTTGACAGCCTTTGCATCTATCATTGTACTTGGAACAGGATTTGCCCTAGGTGGTTATCTCTATCATAGGTTCTACAAATGGATGGTTATTCACAAGATGGAAATTGCCTTCAAGCCGGGTGATCCAGTTCTAGACCTTGCCGCAACTACGAAACAGATGCCAAAGAGGTATGAAGCTGACGATGATGAACATTGGTTCGTACACAAGTTTTGCTGCTTTTAACACTCACTCCTGTTCCTTAGGTGGAACACCAATTTTCCTTTTCTCAGAATTCTTATCTTCTCCTTAATTCAACTTTTGTTCTTCTTTTTCTTCCAAAATTTGTGTTCGAATTGGTCGACGTCACTGACTCCCATTAAACATAGGATTCACCGTGCAGAGCAAGAGAAAATTGACAAAATAGTGCACGGAGAAGATCGTGGACACTATCATCTATTGATCGGAGAAAAGGGCGTAGGCAAATCCAGTATGTTGCTCGAGGCCATGCAGAAAATTGATGGTGAAGGAGTCAGTATGTTTGAAGCACATGCGGACCCTGAGATTTTCAGAGTACGTTTAGGAAAGGCACTCAATTTTGAATTTAATGAGGATTACATCGGATCGTACTTCTCTGAACGAGGACCAAGAGATAGCACAGCTTTGTTGGATATTGAAAGAGCGATGAACAAGTTGGAGAAAGTTGCATTGAAGAGACGAAGTACTGGTCGTGGACCTTTGGTGAGCTTTTACGTCTTTTTTGATCTGACAATGCCGGCTGAGATATGCTCTGAATGATGACTCAATACTTACGATCTCAGATTGTCATTATAAATGCGATACACCTTCTCCGAGACGACGAGAACGGCAAGGACCTACTCGAACTGTTACAACAACGTGCCGAACAATGGGCCGCTTCCAACTTAGTCACTATGGTTTTCAATAGTGATGACTATTGGGTTTATGAAAGACTAAAGTTACTAGCAACCCGTATGGAAGTTACCACGATTCCCGATCTTCCACGTAGCCTGGCTGTGTCTGCTCTCCAAAGATATCGTCAAAAATACTATGCCGAAACACCTTCTACTGAAATCCTAAATGAGGTCTACAACCGCGTAGGCGGCCGTCTTACATTCTTGAACCGAGTTGCCAAATCCTCGGATATGCTCGAAACATGCAACAACATCATCGACACCGAACGCCGCTGGTTCCTAAACCAATGTTGGATCCTGGGTATGGAAATGGACGACGACGTAATGGACCAACAAAAATACGCCGTAAGTATTATCCCCCTCCTCCTATCTCTCACACTCACACTCACACTCACATCCCCCAGTCCGCAGCCATGGTCCTAGCACAAGCGCTCGTCGCCGCCGAAAAAGATACACCCACCTACATCGACGATGGCTCGCACAATATCCCTGAAATCCCTCTCCACAAAGCCCGCCAGATTATGACGCGCGCAGATTTCATCCAGCAATACGATCACGTGAATCTCTTTACCATTACCTCGAAAGCGATGGTGCGCGCGGATTCCGTGCCCATGCAACAAGCTTTCCGTAGTATCTGCGCCGAAGAAGGTTTCGAAAAACATCTCGAAGCGACGTTGCAGAGGATTAATGATATTGAGAGTTTGGGCAGAACGAGAGAGATTGTGGCGAAGGATTTGGTGCTGGGTGGGAAGTATAAGATTACGATGAGTGATGGGGAGAAGAAGGGTACGAAGGTTACGGAGGTGGTGTTGGAGGAGAAGCCGGAGGAGGAGGATGCTGATGGGGAGGATAAGTAGATTGTGGGGATGGGGGATGGGCTAGTGGGTGGGTGTATTTATGTATGATTGTGAGATTTGTGTATATTTAGCAGGGAGGGAGGGAGTGGGGTTGGATTGGAATGGATAGGCTTTTGATATTAATTGAAGGTATCTGGATAGCATAGATCTAATTTTATTCTCTTTCACATCCGATTTGAATAGTTCCCGCGAGGACTATTAGTTTTGAACTTTGAACTTCACGCATGGACCATGATATTCTTTTGTACAACTGAAAACGTGGTACGTTCTTTACCTGCCCTCGCCTTTTGATGGGACATAGAGTGGTAGAATAGAAATGGGGTTTTGAGACTCAATGAATCGAGTGGGATAATTTGGCGGAAGAGTTGGCGCAAGAGTTCTCAGAGGGCTATTTGTATTCTGTGTGAGACTTTGGAGAAAAGAGAGACAGTATAGAGTATTATCTGCATAGATAGGTCTTAATAGGATCTACGGATGAGGTGCGCAAGAGCTTCCTTTTCATATCCAGATTTTCTTGGTGTAGATAGGTACTGCACGTTGTTGAAAAGAAACATGAAACCTCAAACACTATTGCTAGAAAGTTGTGGATCCAATTCAATAGAGTGAACTTTGAAATAAGCAAATACTTTCTCCGCGTGTTGAATGAGCAACTCGAAGCCGCGCATAAAAATCTTCCTATTTCAACACCCCCGTTCCGCTGCACTCCCCACTCTCACATTTCGCTCCACACTGCCCACCCCATCCTGCATCCTTACATGACGAATCCAATCGATCGCTTCCAGCAGATGCGGTACGAATTTCTGCGGCTTTTCCGTCACCGGAAAATGTCCAATGTCGGGCATAGCCTTGTGTCTCGCGCCAGGGATCTTGTCACACGTTGCTTGAGACACGGCAGGTGTATTGCTCCAATCGTACTCGCCTGTCAGCATGAATACTGGACATTTTTTGGTGTCGATGCTCGAGACTCGGGTGCGGCCGTCGAAACCGCCGAAGTAGAAGTCGAGGTCGCCGTGGAAGATTCCGTAGGCGCATGCGCTGTACATGTGCCATATGAGATTTTTGTTGGCGAGAGGAGTGGTGGGTGACATCATCTGTGGTGGGCGTTAGCTTTAGACTTGGGGGGCTGCGAGGCGAGTCATTACGCCGTATACCCATTCTGGGTTGAAGAGCGATTGATTGACGTAGGGTGACTGGTCGTTGAATTGACGATCCATGTTAAGATACTCGCAGCTGTAGTTGTCAATAACGTCATTGTGTGGATGGAATACATACTCACCCTTGTAGTGGAATTGTTCCGCCGGCACCAACTTCGTCAGCTCTGATTGCTACAGCTAAACACACTTGACCGGCCATGGATGCTCCGCATATTATGGGTTTGTTCAATTGCAGTTTCTTGACTATTGCGGTGATAGCACCGACATAACTGTCTTCAGTATTTGTATAATCACCGGGACTAGAGAATTTTATGTCAGTACTTTTTCCATCTCATTCGACTGTAGAGCAACGTCAAACTTGTGGCGCTGTGTGAAGGTCAAGAATCTATACTAGGACCTCTAGTCTTCCCAACAACCGAAAGTATATTTCAAATTCCCATGTTTACTTACCAGTGATTTGGAGGAGGGTAACTCTTCCCATGACCCGGTAGATCGAAAGCTATCATATTGCACTTCTCACGCATGGCGACATGATTCATAACCCCATGATATTGTCGACCGTCTGCTCCGGCGGTATGGAGGAAAACTATGTCTTGCTTCCCAGATCCGCTTTGTTCGTAGAAAACCTTGCACTTTCCCCATGTTGGGATGCTCAAATATACATAACGACCAATGATATAATCCTCATCCACTTCAGACTCTTCATCTAATTTCATCGGCCCGCAATATGCGTCATGGAGCACTTCAAGAACTCGTCTCCAGATATGAGTATGCTGAGTGAAAGATCTTTGATCTCCTTGAATTTCGATACCTTGTTGCTTGATGTTCATTCCAAACATACCCCAGTAGCTTTGAAAGGGAGCAACTGGAATTGGCTGAAAGAATTGCTCCCAATGTCTAAGTGATGCTAACAGTGTGAATGAAGCCTCCTGGGCCGTACCAACTCTCGCGTGACATTTACCATTATCTATGGCAATAACTATAATGTTGTTTGAGGTCGATGTACCAATTCCAAAGGTAATCTGGGGAAGAATGGCTGGAGTCTTTACAAAAGCATTATACTGAGGATCTTTGTTAATCAGTTCGTCAAAGGCTGGAAGAGTTGAATGAAGTTGATCTGAGAGATCTGTCCAGCGAGAAGAGGAAGACATCCTGAAAGATCCTTTATTGCATGAATGAATGAAGAGAGTGAACTGAAAGAAAGTGGATGTGTAAAGAAACGGGACGATGTTTGATGAAAAGGTGTTATATTTGGCCTAATCTGCATGAACAAAACATATTGGTGAGAGTGTCACCTACCCCGCAGCAAGAACATGACATCAATATACTTGCACAACTTGGCAATAAAAACAAAATACGTCTCCAGCCAAACAATATGGAGTGTGCATTTGAGCTAGGGAATTGATGAGCAACAGAGGCACATAAGAAGTGGTTTCTGAGAAAGTCATTCCATGTGCTAGTGGACATTGCTTTACCAACTGGTATTCTTTAAGATTGGTGTTTTGTTGACCTTCCACATAACTCACGAATAGCATGCGGAATGTGTTCTTGTCTTGGTTCTTTGATCAAGATATCTTGTTTGTCTTGGGAGTTGGCGTGTAGTTGAGTGAACATAGGATGGATACATATGTTTGCTCTTGTTATCTGCTCAATGCACCAAAATCTTGAATTTGATCTCTTGATTGCATATGAATGGTATGGGCAAGAGCTATAATGCTTCTCAAAGTACCAACATATTGTATGACATATTTATATGAGAAATCTTGAGTGTCTCATTCTGTCCTGTACAGTAATACAGTCCAGTCTCGGGATCAATACCAGGAGATCCGAGGTTTAACCGATCTGACTGACTAATAAACCTGCACAAACACAAAAACATACAAATGGGTCCGAGCTGAAGCTTTAGATACCAGATCCTTACTCTTCTAGCGGCCGCTAGATCTGAGTTCCCAAAAATTAAAATCATCGAATCAATAAATCAATAACTCTACGCGCCAAAGTTGATTCAAGTCAATTCTTCAGACACAACCCCTCCTTTCTACCAACTGTCAGTGACAATTCCCTCAACAAAGTTCACAGAAACGATTCAAAGTAACATGAATCGCAAAGCATGTTAAGTTGGGCCAAAGGATTATTCTCCTCACAGCTGGAACCCGAGAATCTGGAAGAGGATCCGATAAGTGATCAAACTGATAAGATAATTCAAGGTAGATCAAACTTTTTTATTATTTGCTTTTGAGAAACCTGAGATTGTTGCACATCTTCCCAATCGTACTTGACATAATTGTTTTGGGTAGGAAACTGACGGTCACTTCCTAATCTAGAATCCAAAACAACTCGATCTCTCCTGAATAGAGATCCAATCATGGAGAATTCTCGAGAACCTGCAAGTGACCAATTTGGTAGCATAGATGACCACATTGGTAGCAGTACGAAAAAGCACAAGAAAGATAAGAAGAAGAAGAAGAAGAAGAATAAGAGTATGGGTGGATCAGCAAGTGTTCTACAGAGAGAATATCAGATTGCTGGTATTCAAGAAAGCCCAGAAGATGTCGGCGCGTCGGAACGAAATCCAACTACTTCACCTACACCACCCTCGGAATTGAGCGCGAAAAAGGAAAAGCGAAGACGACAAAAGTCAAATCAGAACGCTTATACTGGGGATGCAGATAGACAAGAGGCAAGTTCAGAGGCTTACCCATCTGGGCAAGTTGACCAGCCAGAGCTTGATACAGAAGAATTGACTGAGTTGGGCAACACTAAACAATTAAAATCGCAACAAAAGCGCAAGCATCGAAAGTCTCACCAAGAAGAATCGCAGAATAGCTACGAAGACTATGTCTCAAATGAGCCAGTTGACGCAGCACAATTGGAAGATACAGAACATCAAGAACCTGAAGTCGAAATGACAACCACCGATTCGGCGTCGAAAAAGAAAAACCGCCGCAAGAACCACAGATCCAGTACATCACATTCGGCACCACTAGGTGAAGAGGAAGTTCTCCGACAAGTAGAAACTAAGGCCGAAGAGGACTTGACCCATGCAAGCGAAAGATCGAAGAAAAAGAAAAAGTCAAAGTTGGAAAAGACAGTTGCATCAGAAGTTGCTCAAGGGAATGAGGAAGCTCGCGATCGAAACCGGTTTCCAATTTTAATCGACGATGTCCCTCTAGAAGATGCTTTGAATAAGCATTTCGGAGACGAATCTTACCTTTTGAAGTCGAGCAAGAGAGATCAATCACAAGAAAACATTGAGGAAAATGGTACTCAGGTGCTGGGCAATAATAGTCATACTTCTGACAAATCTATACCCTCAAAGTCAAAGGCCAAAAAATCTGTCGCTAAACCAAAGACTCCGAAAGTCAACCGAACGGAAGCTGGCGATGCAAACTCGGCTGCCCTACTGAATCAATTCATTTCTGCCGGCAAGAATCGTCGCTTGGAATCAGAACCAGTTGTTCCGTCTGCAAAGGCTCTTGGGAAGAGACCAGCTATTGATGAACAAGTTGAGCACCAATCGAAGAAAAGAAAACAAATTGATCCAGATCCCAGGAATGGTGACATTCGCTCCATGTTTTCTGACGATGCTCAACACGGAGGTTCCACGGTGACTGCATCAAAAACCAAGCAAAAGAAAAGACAACCTGCATCGAATCTTGAGGTGGTTATTTCATCACCTGCTGTAAGAACAAGCCGTTCTGGGAATGAAGAGATGGCAGGCTGGACTGCTTCTGATAAAAGATCATCATCTGCTGGGAAAGCTCAAGACACCTCGGATGATAGTTCAGAGTATGAGGAACAGTCAGTGGACACATCAACCACTCGTCGAAAGCGGTATTTGCCTGTCGATGAGCCTTCTCTAGTGGCGATGGAAACACCAAAATCGGGCAAAAAACCAAAGCAAAAACAAGCACCATCCGAAAAGTCGACCAACAAAAAATCCGCCAAAGCCAAAAAAGATCCTTCGGGCGGAGCTAAGCCAAAACGCAGCAAAAGTCAATCTGTTACGAGACCAAGGAACGGGAATGGAAGACTCAACGAAGACGAGACAAGGAGGATCGCAGACGCCGTGGAGTTGTATCGTGTCGACAATGGCCTGGAACAGCATGCTCTCAATACCATCATTCAGAACAATGCTCTCATCGATGGAAAGAAATTTTGGGATTTCATGACAGAGGAAGTACCTGATGTTGCCAAGCGAAACCTCCAAAGTTGGTGTAGGAGAAACTTTCACAACTATGCAGCACGAGGTATCTGGACTCCCGAGCAAGATGAAGAATTGATGGAACTCTTCAAGACAATGCCCAAAAAGTGGTCTCTCATCGGTGCTCAGCTCAATCGTTTGCCTGATGATTGTCGTGATCGTTGGAGAAATTACTTATCTGTCACAAATTTAGAACTTGGTCCCTGGAAACTTGAGGAGGAAAATCAGCTCAAGGATGCTGTCAAAAGGTGTATCGACCTCGTTCGCGAAGATAGACGTCGAGAGGGACTACTCACACCTGAGGAGGAGAAGGACGATACTTATCACGAACACGATATAAGCTGGATGAAAGTCAGTGAGCTCATGGATCTTTCCAGGAGTCATCTTCAGTGCTATCGAAAGTGGAAGTCGATCAAAAATCGAGAACGAGCTAGTACAGATGACCTTGTCGCGGAACGTATTGTAATCAGCAACAGCTGGAAGAACCTCAAAAGTTATCAGGAAGCAACCAAGACTCTGGCTGGAGAGAAGTTACAGTTTTTAAAAGCTATTCGCGATAGTAAAGCAGGAGCAGAGAGTAAGATTGATTGGAGAGCGATTGATGAAAAGCTCGATCGAAACCACGATGCAATGGAAATGAGAATCTGTCTCCGCGGCTTGGTACATAATATTACAACCCATGCTAATAAGACTCTTCAAGAGAATGTTCAGCTACTCATCGAAGCATATGAGCAATCAGCACCTCATGAACCCGAAGGTTATGTTGACTTGCCTTTTGAATCGACCGGTCTCAAGAAGAGAACCAGGAAGTCGAAAACCAGTGCTCTATTTGAGGACAATCCCGAGCTTTACGACGTCGGTGGTAGTGGCTCCAAGGCCAAGATGAGACATCGCATGCTTAAGACAGATGAATCACAAGGAGATCGCAATTCTGCCGGCAGCCAGGAGAGCGAGCAATTCAATAATTCTGTTCAAGTTCCTGATTCGGCAAAGAAGTCCAAACGTGCAGCTCTTGTCAAGAAACCAATTAAATCATTTGCACTGAGCACTGAAAGGGTAGCAGATAGCGACGTCGAAAATGACAACGATGATGGAGTACCAACCAGTGCGCAGAAGCCTCGATCTGAAGACGAAGACGATGATGAAGATGTTCAGAAACCACGATCGAAGACAAAGAAGGCTAGCCATAAGAAGAGTCAACTGGCGACCAGAACAAAAATTGTCGAAGAGAGCAGTGAAGATGAGCCAGAGCGCCAGCCAGAATCTGATTCCAACTCAGATTCTGAGGATGTTGAAATGGCTGATGCACAGTACGACCTGAACGATAAATATCCCAGTAATGAAACTTCTCAATCTACTCAATTTCACCTCGGCAGCAGTGGCTCCAATGGTAACAAGAAGAACAAGCATTCCATCAGCCGTAAGCCAGATATACCTCTCGATGACTCCGTTCACAACTACTCTCCCGTCGACTCCGATGAAGATTCTGAAATGCAAGACCCAGATGAATTACAAGTTCCTGCTACACCAGAACATGAATTGCAAGAGGGATATAGCGAGCTGAGAGAAGAAAGTGCAGACCTCGATGAGTCTGGTCAAGTTTATCCAAATGGTCAAGGCGATGCCGAGAGTGATGCAGATAGTATCATGGACGATATGTCAGATATTCCAGCCAAAGTCATCAAGAAGAGGGCACCTGGTATTAATGGTGAGGGGGGCGTATATTTTGGCAGAGAGTCAAGCGTTGACCTCGATCAATAAATAAGAGACGCGAGAAGAAAGGTACACACACTATCACAGTGGATTGGTTGGTTGCTTGTTAGCTTATGAGCGGAGGATACCCGGGGAAAAGAAATTTGCAGTTGGTGGGAGTTAAGGGTGTGTAAGGGATATGGTATTGTACGTTTTTCATCTGTACAAGTCAGTGCGTTTCAAGGAACATAAAACCTAGGTAGTTTGTGAGCACCATTCAAATGACTGCAAGCGAGCATACACATCTCAGATGTAGAAATCTTAGGAGACTAATCACCAAGTCATAGTAATGAACATACGAACCATAGATAGCATGAATACAGATGGTAAAGTCCAGAACTCTCTGGTAGTGCCGCTGTGGTGATTATTTTCCATTTCTAATTTCTTAAGGTGATGAAATTTACTAAAGTAGTAGTATAAGTAAAGTATCAAAATGTATAACACCGAGCCGACTCTGTCCTGTTGGTCCTTATCATAGAGTGTCTGATACACCATGGCTTTTTGCAATTTGTCCTCCCCCGCCTGACCTTCCTATCCTTTTGGAAGGAAGATTGTGGTCTGATCGCTAAAATATGCACTTATATTCCTTGTGTGTGGTTTTTGGGATGTGCATCATGTCGTTATATATCATACCAAATCATAATAAACCCCTCCCAGCCAATCCCTGGTGTTCCCCATTTCATCAAATCCTCAAGATCATCTAACATCAATCCACTTTTTCTTCTGATGACGCTGATGACAATACAGAAGAAGAATCAAATTCACTCTCAGGATACAGGTCAAGGTGGGGATCTTGTTCGTACTCCTCATCTAAATCAGGAATTTGAAGAATAGAACAAGTCTGCTGGGAAGACTCATCCACGTGAGTGCGTATGCAAGAACCCGTCGTTTTGCTTCCTCCATTTTCAGGGGTGGAGTTCTGTTTTCTATCATCGCCATCTTCTTCTGATTGTTCGTCGCGTCTGGAAACGTCTGAATCTGAAGTATCACGAGATAAGGGGTTGAGTTCTGGATCTCCGGGTATGGTAATATCGTTTTCGAAGAACCTGATGCTTTGGAAATAGTTGTTGAAGTGCTCATTGCGGTTTTCTAGGGCCGGAAAAAAAGAAACGAGGTCGGGGGTGGGGAGGGAGTGCGGGGTGCGGGGTATGTGGGAGGATAAGGAGGGTGGAGGGGAGTGAGGTAGATGAGGTGGATGAGGTAGGGATGCGTTGGGTTTGTATGTGTAATGATATGCATCATCATCATCTTCTTCTTCTTCTGGATTGTTTTCCATATCCATGTTTATAGCGAAGTCGCTATCGATATCGATCTCATATCCATATTCATTTCTTGGAGAGAAACGAGATGGCTTTTCTACAGCGCCCGGTGAGTAGCGAGGGAGCCCTGTCCCTGTCTCTGTCTCTGGCCCAATATGGCGCGAGGCTTCATGTGAGGCTTCGCTCTTGGGCGTTTTGAGCGAAGAGCTACTGGGATCTGTTAGAACCCAGTAGTGGTGTCTTGAATTTGTAAGGTTGGATGGATTCATAGGTACGTACACATTATCTGCCGAGACATTTCTTGCTGGTGAAGAAGTCGTTCTTGTTTCTTTTGATACGGGGGTACATTTGATATCTTCCTCTTCAGATATTGTTGTTTCGGTCATTGTTACCCAGTCGTTTTGATAGGGGGTGTTGTGGTTTTTAGAGGAAGTTCTTGATGGGTTGTGGTTGTTGGTGTTGGGAGAGGAATTGGGTTTGCCTGAGGGCATTATAGCATGGAGATGAGTTGAGTGGGTATCATTATCTGAAAACGGAGTTGATCTGTTGATAATTCATGGATATGGGTTGAAGAATGAGCGTTTTACAATGCAACGATTAAAGTGTGAGACGGGATACGCAGTGAACTTTATAGAAGGAGGTTTTGGGACATGGGCATCGGGCGAGGGAAAGTCAAGAGGAAAATTACCAGGAGAGCATGAGTTCATAGATTTTTGTGGTTTTGTATCTACAAGATATTTCTTCTGCGAGGCGTACGATGCACTCGGTGACGGAAAGGGAAATTATACACATATTGTATCTATATTGATCCATGACCGAGTATCCACATGTGAATATGTGTTCTGCCGTGATGATTTGTTATAAGCCAAGAGGCAAGCCTTCTTCTAGAAGACAAAAAGAAGGAATCCTTCCGGGCAAGGATGCAAGGTACCCAAGATACAACCATGTCCAAGAGTCCCAAGGCTGCGACTGACACTCCATTCTGAACCACGAGATGTGAAAGAGAGAGTACTAACACCTCTGGCTCATGTGTTCTTAGGCTCTCCTGCCTATTCTTCAATATGCCCTGTACAACATCAATAACATCCCAACCCCAAAATATACCCAAGATAATGTGCCTCACCACAACGTCATCGTATACTGCATGAAATAGTGTAGTAGGGTAAGCTCAGAACCCAATCTTACTGCACTCAAACTCAGAACCCAATCTCGGGATTCATCTTTCCCATCTCAACCTCGTGCATCTCACCCTTTCGCATCCCAACTTACCTCATATTCAAGCCCAATATAAATCCGAAACCCACTGCATGTATATGGTAGTATAGCGGCAACTTCTGACCAGAGATTGGATAGTTTAATCCCTCATACAAATAAACCCTCATGTAAATAGTCAGAATAAGAGAGGCAGACAAAAGGGTTTAAATAAACCTGAAATTCAGATGAAACCGAAGATGCTGGTAAGAGAACATTGCTAAGGTCCAATTGATACATGAGGCTGAAGGATGCAGGGGAGATACCAAGAAGTGAGAACAACGAATACAGGGTGGGGACGGGAGAAGATGAGGCTGGCGGGCGAGTGCCATTTGATAATAGGGAAAAGGGGGTGTGAAGATCATGATGGAAGCCTCGAATTTGGAAGAGGCGAATTGTGAGAAGAGGGACAATGTGATAGGTGGTTTGGGGAAAGGCTAGTGGCTGTGCCTGACTGTGGCGGCGGCACAGTAATCTAGCCAAGCCGGATCGAGGAAAGATGCATCACCCGTCGACATAAATACAAGGCATTAGTATCGTGATGTGAAAGCCAATGCATTATGATGTCTATTAATCGTGTGTACTTTTCTCCAACCTTTGCACAGCAAGGCGCAAAAACGCCTTGAAATCTCTTGAACATACGAACCCACACGGCTAACAACATCGGGCGTATTAAATTATCCCGAGTCTATGCCCTATCCTTCTATTAAACATTGAGCGTTGTATGTGCCAGCACATATCAGAAGTGAGAATTTTGCCTGTATCCTCTGTTTTCGAATCCAATCCCGCCGTACCAAGTTCCGTCTAATCCTTGTTAACCTATCCCAAATCTATTCCTGCCATAACCCCCATAAGTATTCAGCCCGGCAAAGAAACAACTGCGTGCAAAAGCGCAAAAGCGTCACCTCGATGTCGTCGAGTCTGTCTTTCCCCCATGCGATTCAGAAGTCATGCTCCTACGTAGCATTTCTAACTGTACGTCCAGAAGACACGGGGATTCCGCAGAATCACACATGTAGGAGCCATCTTGAGATGTCTTGGCCTTTCGTGCGCGAGCTTGTCGCTGCTTGTTTTCATGCTCCAAGGATTGCAATTGTTGTTGATATTCAGTAAGAGAATCCATAATATTGACAATGGAGATTAAATTAGAATTCGTGATCCTTTCGGAAAGCAATTGTGGGCGTGACTGATTGTGGCTGGAAGGACCTGATCTTGTACTTCTCAGAAGCTGCGGTGAGATCAAGTATAATGTAGGAATTTGGTAGTTGACAATTCTGAATTAATTGCTGGGATGAATTATGAGCTCGGTATGGATGGAGAGTTGAATGGAGGAGGATGTTGAAGGTCATGCAATGTGCTTGATATATTTGTTGGAATGGGATTATCCCGTATCTAAAAATAGATGTTGGATGGATTCGAAACGAAGTCTTCTGATTCGCGATGGAAGCAAAAGTGTATTGTTCTTGACTCGAAGGAATGTGACTGAATGTTCTAAGAACTTTCTAGGGATATTATCAACTAAATATATATCCTCATGATGGTCAAAGTTCATGTCTCGCAGATCTCCTGTAATGTTAGCGCCAATTTATCGTGGGATGCGATGAAGCAATCCTCTCACTCCTCTGTTTCGTCGATTAGCCGCCTGTCTCAAAATCTTTGCCGCATATAATTCTACTTTTCGGAACCAACGCGTACCTAAAATGATTTGAGTAAACACGGTAGACTGTTGTATATCTAATTTAAAACTCGTAACAGATTTCGACCTGCCGTAAGCCGCGAAACTCCCATAATTGTTACAGAGCCGTTAACATCGTCTGATGTTAATAATTCAAAGGCCATAATAGGACACACCTCCAAGAATTTCAAAACGGAGCTTCCTGAGCTTGTATCAAACGTTCTTTCTCCTGCGTGGCTTTGCATCTTCGATGACATCTTTTTCGCCAATTATGACAGGCTCAGTTCGTTCATCCATTGCATCGCCACCAACTACCCATGTCTTCATTACCTCCTTGACCTCCTGCAGCTTCTTCGCTTGCCCTTTGGCTTCTCCAACTCGTCTGATGTAGCCCATGTAAACTACCACCTCGGCAATGCCAACCAGGAGACTACCACTCATACTCAAAGCTAATCGGGCAGGTGTGCTCCACCATCTTGCAGCCATCCATAACCCAAATGCACAAGCAATAATAGATACAATGACATTAAATATAACAGCAATTTGTCGATCGATGTCCGCATATGTAACGTCGTCATCCTCGGTGTTTCCTACATCTGGAAAGTTGGCAGTGAAAGCATGAGCGGCAGATGTAGACGGGAATCTTTGTGCAAATGTTTCCATGGGAGGCGGAGGATTTGTCATTCGATCATATGCTCGAGCTTCTTCTTCGCGTCGAAGTCTTGCCATTAGAGCTTTGTATTCCGACGTCTGCAGATGATATAACGTTAGCTTAGATGCCTATCTCCCAACTCCGAGCATGTGCCATTTGAAACATGTAGTGAATATCTTAATCGAGCTTATTTCAGATATACCAAATTGTATTGGCGTCGGCAGATTTGAATCATAACTTACAGGCTCCGCCTTTGGTACAGGAGGTGAAACATAGACACGAGAGCCTCGAAGCAAGAGCTCCAAAGTGAGCGGTGAAAGGTTATGTTTCTTTAAATTTCGAGATAGATCAATGGCTTGACCATGAGATATGGGATTACCGATTTTAGGATTTTCTAACAGCGGTTCCTGTGACACCTTTGCATTTTCTGCCAGGTTTGCGTCTTCCAAACTCGCCGTGGACACATCCTGCTGGACCAGCAATCCAGTCTGTGTATGCTCTTCAGTTATATCTGCATCTGTCTCGTTGTCTTCTGTGTTCAGTTGGACTTTGTTTTCCGAGAAGGTTTTCGGATTGTCTTCTCCAATTTCTCTCTCCAGTTGCTGTTCACTAGGCAGCTGTGTTGGCTCGTCATGAGAATGGGTATTTTCGAATTCATGGAGGATTTTTAATGCTTCGACTATAGTCGGAGTCATGGTAAGGAGAACCATTTTCACGTTCTATGAATGTATCAAGTAGTTCACCACAGTCTCAGATGTTTGTGATAGCTCCAAGTATCATTTCCCGCTTTCAAAGCTTATCGGTAAAACTTGCTTATCGGCATTAACTTGTCCGACAGTGGTCTAGTCCAACCGAAATATTCATGCTCGGAATCTTGCGGGGAATAATTTTTATATTCCTTACATTCTTCCATAAATACTAGGTTTACAAGGACTACTACGGCCGCTTTTGACTTCGAGGTACTAATACGTGGAATTGAGTATTAAAACTGTCCTTTCCACAAAGAAAAATTGGTATTTCGACATAGTGGGGGTTTCACAGGCCATGAGGAATTATTCAATGAGGGCTTCGAAGCTCTTCCCCAGCTCCTCCATAGCCAGAACGCAGGTCAATGGCGCGTGTTTTCGGTGTCAATTAGCTTGCACGGCATCACTACGTCCTATACTTACTCCTTCATACCATTATAACTCTACAAGGCGGAAGCAATCAACCTGGGCGCAGGCGGTATCTGTGGCGTCCAATGTATTTTCAAATGCTACCACCCGGGCGACAGGAGGGACCGATTCGATAGACCCTTTACGAATGGTTGCGAAAGAGATGAAGTTTCTGACTGGCAACATACGGCAACTCCTTGGATCTGGACATCCCTCTCTCGACACTGTTGCGAAATACTATACACAAGCTGAAGGCAAACATGTACGACCTATGATTGTACTACTAATGTCTAGAGCTACAGCCTTAGCGCCCAAATCTCCTCGATATAATCCCAATCAAGAAATTGCAGATATAGACAACCCAATATCGCCGACTACCATTCTTTCGGATGTAAATCCTACCGCACCTACATTAAACCCTTTGGCACATGTGCCCAGAACATATTCGGCAGCCGAAAGTGACATACTCCCCTCTCAAAGACGTTTGGCTGAGATTACGGAGCTTATTCATACTGCGTCCCTTTTACATGATGATGTCATCGATCATTCCGTCTCGCGGCGAGGCAACCCATCTGCCAATCTCGAATTTGGGAACAAAATGGCAGTATTGGCTGGAGACTTTTTGTTGAGCCGAGCTTCAGTAGCTCTTGCACGTCTGCGTGATGCGGAAGTTACCGAATTATTGGCGACAGTCATTGCGAACCTCGTCGAGGGAGAATTCATGCAACTGAAGAACACCGCGCAAGACGAAAAGAATCCTGTTTGGACAGAAGAGACGATCTCTTACTACCTACAAAAGACATACTTGAAAAGCGCAAGCTTGATCTCAAAGTCATGCCGGGCCGCGGCTTTACTCGGGGGATCAGATGGTGTTACTGTTGATGCAGCGTATGATTATGGTAAGAATCTGGGATTGGCTTTCCAGCTTGTTGATGATATGTTGGATTATACAATCAGCGAGAAAGAACTGGGAAAGCCTGCAGGAGCCGACTTGGAATTGGGTCTTGCGACTGCCCCATTGATATTTGCATGGAAGAATAACAAAGAGTTGGGCTCCCTAGTGGGAAGGAAGTTCTCTCAGGAAGGAGATGTTTTGCGGGTAGGTTATGTTACAATGAGTATATAAGACTTCGCACTAACAGAATTGCAGGCAAGGGAATTAGTGCTACAAAGCGATGGCTTAGAGCAAACTCGTGCCTTGGCTGAAGAATATGCGAGCCGGGCAATTTCTGCCATCAGTGCATTCCCCGACAGCGAGGCCAAGGATGGCCTGATAGAAATGGCGGATAAGACCTTGAAACGAAGGAAATGAATGAAATGTACCAAACAGAAGTTTTTGGTTTGTACCAATGATATCACGCCTTCTGTATCGGATGCAAAACTATTGTATTATACAAAAAGCTTTCAACTTGGCGGGAATTATATAGACAGGATCTCAAGAATCAAAATAGACGTTTAATACCTCCAGGAATCATAGGTCAATTTGGGTATTAATATTAAGCTTGTTTGCACAAATAGCTCTTTGATTCTGTAATCCCGTTTCATGTTTCTGACTATCTGATAGTTTGTATATCTCTTCGGCCTGTAGTCACATAACCTTCCATAGCAATCTTGAATTAACCCAACAACCTATTTCAAATGTATATGTATACCCTTAGGAGTCCAACTATAGCTACCTAGGTTGGATGTGAGCTTTTAAGAACGTATGGAAAGTGTTGTTGTTCGAGCGGCGCCTACACAATGGAAGCAAATGCACCCAAACCATTCGCTTCTATGTCAACCTCAACACGCACCACGACCACATCTGTCCTTTGCACAACAGTACCCTGCGCTGACCACATTCTGCCCGACTTCTTATACCGGTATCCCTCCAATGAATCACATGATACAATAGGAATTATTGGAAACCCTGGCATACTGGCACGGACAGAATGACGTTCTAATCATCACTTCAAGGTTCCTCACATGAGACCATCGAAATGCTCGAGGCCTATTCGGTGAAAAATCTCTGCATTCCGGACAGAAAGCGTTCATAATCTCACTGTGACAGTATTTGGTACTGGGCAACTTATCCGTGGGTGGATGCCATCTCAAAGTAACCATCCAGCTTGAACCCGACGGGTACGGGTATTTACCCGTCAATATTCCAACATTCTCACGGATAGCACTTTCCCGGAATCCAATGATGCAGCTCAGCCATCACTCGCATGGCATTCTAGTATCTGAGCAGAAGATCTTGCGAGCTTGCCGTACCTTGCCGACTCTTGATTTAATGAGGTAATACTTGAGAACCTCTATAGCGATATCATAGTGTTGTGAGTATTCATGTTACAATCGATGTATACTCAGTCATATTACCTTCATACCTAGATACCAGCCCTAGACAACCCTTCTTCACACGAGGAAAAGAACTCTGTGACATGAAGAAAGCTGATTCTGGGGGAGTGAGATAACTTTATGATATCTATGCACGTGCAATGACCTTCAGAATTCTTATTGATTTAATAAGGCAAGGCTGAGAACAAGGCTTTTGAAAGTTGAGAGAACAATCAAAAATGATAAGACTCATATTTCAGTTTCACTCTTTATTTCACCTTTCGGTGTACAAAAATGAAGGGTTCATGCATTGGTTCATCGGATGTCGAAATGTTCATGAGATGTATGTTGGATGACTTGATGGAGTATATTTCTTAATCAGTTCGAGCACGGACCACCACTTTAACTAGCGTGTTTTCACAACTTCTATCAAAATGACCCGAAACGCGTCTCCCCAAATCTTCAATATATCATGACCACAAGAAAGATTGTCACAAAGATTCAACACCACAACCCGAAGTAACAATGGAGAATCATTCAAAAAGGTATCAACTCACATACATATTCACTTGCAAAAGCACAGCCGCTAATTATGTACCCTAAGCAAAAGTAATGCTACCATGAGAACTTATTCTAAACGCACAAGAGGAAGCAATCAAAATCTCTCCAACAAGAGACAACGCGTTGATGCTTCGGAATTCGTGCCAATTTCTTCTCCAGTTCTTTCTGGATCGGTTTCTTCTCCAAAAAACTATCCTAGGGATAGATTTGAAGAGAAACCACGTTCTCCTCTGATTCGTTCTCCTTCGAAGCAGCCGCGGGGAGAGATCGAGAATTTCTCTACCATAAACTCTCGAGTTTTATCTCCTGGATCCGTCAGATCTATCTCTCCTCTCACGGAACTCAAATCAAATCAGCAAAATCGACGCGATAATGAGATCAATTCTTCCTATTCCCCTGACTCTTTGAAACGCAAATCTTCAACGAAGGTTCAAGGCGCCAAACTCACTTCTACCCCGGAGGCTTCGAATTCTACGACAGTCTCGAGATCTAGTTCAAGGCTGCAGCATAAGACAGGCACTAATACGACGAAATCTCCCTCTCCTGTCTCAGAATCAATTTTTTCAAAAGAAAGTCTTGCATCGAATCATACTAGAATTGATTCAGAACCCTCAAGGCAAAATCCACGGAAAAATATTACTTCGGCTTCGAAAAAAAGACTAATTTCCCCCTCGTCAGAGATATTAACCAGACAAGATACCACTATTACTTCGAAGTTCCATCCAGTGGAGAAAGCTAACAAATCTTCTATTCGAAGCTACTTCAAACCATTACCACAGCCACAACCACAACGATCTTCGAGTCCACCAAAATCACAATCCTCTACTCTTTCGGATTCATCTCAGCATCCAGTATCATCTCCTCCTTCATCGCCTCCCCCAATACCCCAGGGTTATCCCATATTGAAAAGAACGAAATCGGTTCGACGTCGCATCAGCACCAAACCAAACCTCCCAAAGATCGACACCATGTCTGAAATTTATGAAGACGATTTGCAAGAACTATGTGGAGATTTTACCGATGATTCACGAGTTGAATTGATGGAACGTTATCAAGATGCTCAAGACATGAGAGACCAAGCCATCATCGATCGTGGCACTCTCATCCCTCTTGCTGACCAGGCCCTTGAAGCTCCAGAACGTGCAAGGCTCAGAGCCGAGATCGCCCGCCCTATGGGGTTTGCTCTTCATCAACAAATTCTAGATCTAGGGCAATCGTTCTCCAATAAATGCCCTAATTGCGGCATGCAGTATGCGATTAACGACCCCTCGGACCAGCGCATGCATGATCAATTCCACAAGATCTTCAAATTGGGCGGACCTGTTTTCAAGCCAAAGTACGTGAATACTCAAGCATGGCAAAAGATAATTGATGGCGAACTTCACACCGTCCAGTGCATTAGCTGCAAGGAATCCGGTCCCGTCAAGAGTCTTGTAGAGAGTATCCTTGAGGCTACTTTGATGGATATGGATGGCATCTTACCAACTCCCGCGCAACTCTGGTCCATGATCACCAGCCCCAACGACTCTAAAGATCTTATTCCTGTTCCCCGCTACAAGGTCTTCCTTTACGTTATCGGCGCCCGTCCAATTGGTATTCTCCTCGCCGAGCGAGTCGGCAAAGCAACCCCTATTATGAACACCGCCGAAACTGCTGAGAATGCCTCGCTCTCGATCTCCCTCTCCAATGCATCCCCAACTCTCGCCACCTCTGTCAATTCCGTCTCACAAGAAGCATACATGTGCATTGATCGACTCTGGGTCCACTCCGATTACCGCCGAAAGGGCATCGCTACATCTCTTGCTAACCAAGCAAGAGAGAAGTTCATCCCGGGTTTGATTGTCGAGAAGAACCAAATGGCTATTAGTCATCCTACTTCTGTTGGTGGTCAGTTTGCGGAGAAGTATTTTAAGGGTGTTTTCGAGGGTGCGAAGTATGCGATTGGTTGTCTCTGAGCGAGCACAGACTGGAATAGGAGATAGGCGAAATGGGATTAGTACTGAGCAGAGGAATTGAATGGATGAATACATGAATGAATAAATGAATGAACGACAGGGAAAAGAGCGGCTACTCTTGGCGTTTTGCGATGATCCAATTTCAGATAGGAAAATACCTAGGCTGGAACCCTAGTGTTCTTACAATGAAATAGCGGTCTCTTACTAAATTTCTGACATGTGATGTTACGTGATACTTTGAAATATAATTGGTTGTAGTACAACCTGAAGACTGAAGTGGGTTAGAAGTTGATGATATCCTTACCTGTTTTCAAACCATTCATCATAGCTTTATCTCTTAGTCTCTTTTGATGCCCCTCGATCTCGGATCGATATTCCAGCCCCTTGATATTGTATTGCATTCTCTTGAGGTTTCAGGATATGATCTGAACTTTCTCTCAGTTGGGTTGAAAGTGGGAAGTAGATATGGCTCAATCAGTTTCTTGAGCCTGTTCGACGAATAATTACCCGGAAGCCATTCAGGTGATCAAACGATACCTTCAAGATATGTTTGGACAATCAACCAGAAGCTTAGGACATTCTTGATTGATGTGTGAGGAGCTTGAAAATGGTACACTGCTAGCACCATTTCACTGGATGGCCAAAATATCAATAACTCGGAATAATTCTAAGAGACTGAGACGCACCGCAAGTGCTTTGCCTAGCCTTTCGATACTGCAAGGATTCTGAAGCACCACTCCCTCCAAAAATAATTGCATCTCATCACCAGGTAATTTGTAGTAAATCAACATATAGCGAGTCGCGGTTTGACATCCTGCAATCTTTCCATCGTATTCATTAATTTCCCGCTGACCAGAAGAATACTGAACTCCTCAGACTCTGCTTCATCGTTTATCCCATCGCATCGTTACGAGATGTGAAAATTCTCCTTTGACAGTCTCATCCAATCGGAATCCTAATGTTCATTTCTCCCCATCGCCATGCGTGATTCTCTCTTATCACGGCACAAGGCCATCTCTTTTCCTTCTCGACAATGGTAATAGATTGAAGAGAGCGGAGTTCGTGTTTCACCACTCCTATACGAGACCCATTGAATTCCTCGAAGCGAACATGAAGCTCTCACTGCCGTTTGCTCAGAACCTACTAAAAGGTTATCTAGTCCTGATAGACAGGCTCGACAGGGTATTCCTTCCTCCTACGCAGCATCATCCTTTCCATCCGGAAAGTATAGGCTTCACCTCCTCCCCTGAAAATTTAACAAATCTCCAAAATCCCACTACCGTGGACCTCAGGCCAAGCCCCCAAAAAATGAAGTTATTCATAGTACCATTCTCTCGTATTGTACGAGACAGATATACATATCCATGTAGCTCATCACTTTAGCGTCCGAGATAGCTTATATTTGATCGGCACTTTCCACGTGGGATGTCAAAGCTGTCTTTGTACCGAATTCTTGCGATGGTTTATTGTCCGTGCTTTGTTTCGTTGGATGATATTAGCACGATATCGAAATCAGCTGTCAGATATCAACTGCAAGATGATATTTGAAGAAAATTGTTTCGTCGGTCAATGCACCCGTATGCGCATTGATTCTGATGCTTTAGCCAGGAAAGATATCGCGGTAGTTTTAGTTAACTCACGATGGATCAATCACAAGGGAAAATCTGTGTGCATACCTATGTGTAGAATTATCTTGCGTGAGAAGTCTGGACGAGTGTTCAGGGCGACAGGATGGGTATATGAAGATGTTGAATTCTCTCCACAACTACATCAATCTTCACTGATCCAGCTCATTCATTCTTTCTCTACTTCATCATAATACATTCGATTAACTTAACTTTCTTTCAACAACATTCGTTAAATTTTCATCAAAGATTTCCTCTTTTACTTATTTTCCATTCATTCGCTGATCATCTCGTATCATCCACCCTCCCAATATCCACAATGAGAACCTCATTCATCTCCCTCCTCGCCATCACCGGTCTTTTCGGAACCTCTCTCGCCGCCCCAACACTCGTTGGAGTCGAGTCTCGTGCCCCCGCAAACGCAACCGATATCATGAACAACTTCTACACCCAAGTGCAAACCCACACCGGAACCATCAGTAAGCTCTCTTCTCCAATTCACTCCCCTTACATCCCCTCTAACACCCCCCAGACTCAACCCTCAACACCATCACCTCCTCTTCCAGCTCCGCCCAAAACAGCACCGCCCAAGCCGCCATCTCCAAAGCAGTAACAAACATCATCACCGCCGCCACCACCACGAACACCGCTCTCAAAACCCAAAAACGCGATCTCGAAGCTCGAACGTACTCGACTCAAGATCAACAAATCATCAGCGGTACTTGCGCTAACGCCATCACTTCGATTGCTGGAACCATGGGTCTTGTGCAAAACACGTTTGGAGGAGTATATACCGGTGGACTGATCGGTGGGTTGGTTGGTGCTCTTGGTTTGGTGTTGGGTACGTTGGATGCGATTGTGGGGGATGTACTTATGCTTGCGGGAGCTTTGATTGGGGGTGTTTTGGAGGGTGTGGGTGGTTTGCTTGTGGGTATCTTGTTTGGGAAGTGGTAGATGGGTGGGCTTGTTTGGGGGTGGTGCATTTACTTTCTTACTTGCTTCGGATTTCGAGCTTGCGGACGCGTAGACTTGATGGAAAGTTTGGTTGAAGTGCTGCCATTCACATCTAAGATGTGGATTTTGAGATTCTGCTTAGATCTAGGGTTTCCTGAGGGATTGTCGGTGGGGGTGTAATCTAAATTTGGAGGTTGTGTGCTGGACATGTGGATGGCAATAGTTTCCTGCAAGTTGCTTTTGTTTCTGTTGAATAATATTTAGTGTTTGAACATTTCATAGAAAATCCAAATGCTCTTAAGATCTCAAAAACTAGTATCTCGCAATTTCAATGCAGTTATATTGCACCAGGTTTGAAACTCCCGTGGACTGACCATCCTAACCCAACCCTCCCTCCACTCTGATCACCCATAGCTCATAAATTAACGAAGTCGTACTACGATATATTAGCACTCGCTGAGGAAAGCCTGGTCTTTTACTATAGGTAGACAAACCTTTGCATGAAAATTCAGGACTACTGCTAGAACACCACATATCTTCCTCTGCCAGATTCCAGGTCAAATTAACTTTAGGGTTTCTCTCTCCCACCAATCTGAAGCCAGCCATGCATCCCAATCCGGCTTTGTTGTATCTGTGTAGAAGTCAAATAGGGCCATTTGTCCCACACGTCTACATAATTTTGCATCTTCGGGATCCTCTTGCAAGATCAGACATTTTAACGTCGTTATTGATCCCAGCATGGAAATGCGACCTCTGGAATTACTCGGCAACGGCCTTAACCCTACGAGCATAACTTTGTACTTGAGCGGAGAAACAGCCGACCAATCGGGGGCTTTCTCATCCCAGTAGTAATGACGAAAGATCTCGAGCCTGGGATGTTTATGAATGGGTTTGGCATCTATAGATGCTTTAACTCCCACACCTGGTATTTTAATTTCGACCCCCTCTTCGAGAATAGTTCGAGGGACGTAGAAGCTGAAGTCGTCATCCCCAGACGACTCTACTCTTAAACAGAATTCGATTTCGTTGGCAGGATTTCTATATTGACCTAGGTGAATCAACTTCAGCGTCAGCGCGTCGACAATGATATGGGCGTATCTGACAGCACCATAAGGATTCGCGCTAGAAAGTTCGATGTGATGTGACGAGAGAATAGGATCATAAAGGGTAGATGCTAAGCGAAGTGGCTTGTCGTAATGTATATCTCCTTCATTCATAACAGCCCAGGACCATGAGGGTGCTCGGTACTGCATTGTACGACGTGATTTCCTCGTCAGAGTTTTCCATAGCAAGTTTTCCCGGAAATATTTACTCCATATTCCAGCTAAGTAATGTCCTCCAACTCCTTTGTGGAGTAGTGCTGCAATGCCGGCAAAGGCTGGGAGTTTATCATTTGGGTCACTCAGATTTCGGTTACAGTAATCCTCAACCATAAAATGATACTCGCGATTCATTTCTAGCAGTTCTTCCTCGGAGATTATCGTGAACTTATCATTGTAATTTTGGTTAAAAATAAGACTTTGTGTAATTATCGGATAAATGTAGCTCTCACTCGAGGGGAAACCCCTACCACTTGATGGCGTGCCGTCCGCAGATTGAAATCCACATTGGCATTGCCAATAGATTTGTCTGCGACCATACCACAATATTCGAGGTGAGAGTATTCTCTCTTGCAATGCCCAAGCTCGAGATTGTAGAGGTCCATATCGCATCAATCCGGCGAGATCTTCACGCCGCAAGATGGAGCTAGCAATTTCCACAATGTCATCAGATCCACTATCTTTTGACAATTTAAGTTTAGGCTTCAAGTCGCGAGATTTTGGTGATCGAGTGTGAAGTATACCATCGGCAGCTTTGTGTGCTGCTGCTGCTCCGATAGTTAGGACAGAGTTTCGATATATGTCTCCCATCTTTGTTGATTCAGTTGACCAATCGTGTATGGAGTCTTGAATGATACATAAGGAATCGATCCACAAATATTGAAAGCCGAGCCCGCGAGTGATCAAAATTGCGTCTCTGAAATTAGCTGGTAAGCTTGTCATTTTGATCTCTTTCTGGAGCGATTGCAGATTCGATTTTGTTAAAATGGTCTCAATTTCCCCTCCCCAACAATGGCTCAGTGCGGTATATTTTCCCCTCAGACCGTTGGCCACAAAAAGAGATGGATTCGCATCTTCCGAACCAACATCGATCACCCTAGAAGGTAATACTTCGTCTTCAACCGAAGGACATTTCGATTCAGAGTGTTCAGCAATGCAAGTGTTCATCCAGCCTCGTGCAATATCGAAGTTTGCGTCTGATGCCAAATCCTCGTCAATGATAAATTGACCTATTCGAGTATCGTCGATAAATTTAGGTTGGTCTATTCAAAATCAGTAGCCAGTAACAGGGCAAGGCACCTTTCTCAACAGGGCTGCATATTCAAATCCACAATACCTTTCGGCGTCTGCAGAATGCAAATCATAACAGTGTAGCTATTATAATACCCATCATCGTGCCGCTGTTTGAAAGTCAAATGATCAAAAACCTTTGCTCTTTGGAACTCTTGAGAATATAGATGCGAAGCCTCAATTTCTACTCGCAAGTCTAGGGGCTTATTCCCGGCCTCAATGTTTCGAAAGCTTTGCTCCCGTGTAGATAATGTACCATCATAGTCTATTTCAACCTCTTCTTCCTCGCATTGCCGTTGAAGAAGCAGACAAAGCTCACACCCAGACGAGGCTGCAGTCACGAGATCATCGTATCTTTTGTGATGCTCAAAAACTAGGTAGTCATATGAATCCCGACTCTTACCACTATTGGCCTTTGCCTGCTTGAGCAGGTCGGTTACATTCAAGCGATCACACACTGTGCAGAGCATGTTGAGCGTTTCGAGGATGGTTGGGGGTTTCTGATGGAATGTTGTGAAGTAATGTATCTATTCTTGACAGATGATGGTTTGAAAAGTCGTTCATGTTTACAAGATAAGCAAGCATGTCAAGGTCCAATGAAAATCGAGACGGGGGTAAGCTCTGCGGGGTAATATTAACGACGTCTCCATTTTACGAAAGATACAGGCAATAGCATCAAGATTTGGAATGGATACCCAAAGGATAGAGTCAATCGTTGGAACATAAGACTCGGAACTGAAAAGGTAAAGATAGATTGAGATGAGAACATGAAGAATTGATGTATACGAATCATGTAGCTGTATGCTCCTGATGAAAAGTTGTGTCGGACACAAGACAAGCTACCATCAAAACTCGACAGACTGATGTAGGGTACACTAATCCTGAAATGGAATAGTATCTGGGGTAAACTACATTCAATAGCGAATAGCTCGATACAAAAATGACAGAAGCTTAAGGGAGATTCAACTACAACGTCTGAGTAGCTTCGAAATTGAACAATTCATTGACCACCATAAAACATGTGTACCACTTTCTTCACAAGCATTCTTAAGCAGACAGTATTCAATAAGAAACAAGAAAAACACCACTACCTTACCGATACCATCAAAGAAATCCTCTCAAGACCAGCTTCGTTCTGAACCTCGAGCTCGCTCACCTCCCGTTTACGATGTAGCTCTGAAGGACAAGAGGATCTGACTGCCCCAAGACCACAATCACCGACCTTGAAAGTTCACGCAAAGATTATTGAATACCACTTCACGCGAACATCGAATACAGAACTAGCACGACTAATCTGCATCTCCAGTCAATCAAACCCGATACCATTGAACATCCACAAAGCATTTGAATCCCAACATCACGATGTGCGATTCTCCAAAGGGTAGCGATGTATCGTAGACAGTCCATCAAATAAAGAGCACATCATGACTGGCACCTGAGAAGTCGTCGTTAGGTGAGATACACATTCTCGCACCACACCCACGCGCCCCTTCTTCCCCCAGCACCACAAAGATCCTACGTGCAAGGAACAGGTACAGTACCTAGGTAGCGAGAGACAAATAAAACCACGCAGATTATATATACATATATATATCATTACATACCTCCACATTTCACTTCCCACACATCAGAATCGCATGACTAAAAATAACCACACTCCTACCAACATTTCCATGGTATCCATGTATACCCAAGCATACCATACATATTCCCTTCTCAGATCAATCCCGAGACAAACTACCTCCCCCACAAGAAACCCCATCAAACCCCAAGAGTCTTCACATCCACCTGCTACTCCATCAATACACCACACCAAACCCACACCCATCCATCACACACAGAGCCGCACAGAAAATCATCACAAACAAACCCAACCAAACATAAAAAAGTAAAAACATCCCGTAATCAATTTTTCATTCATTCATTTATATATTCATATATGCATATATTCATCGCACCATTCCATCATCCCACCATTCATCCCATCCACCATCCATCCATTCAACCATCCAATTTTTTCATTCACAAACAATTAAATCCCCACTCCAAACATACCATCCAACCATAACAAAAGCAAGCGAACGAAGACGACGCGAAAAACAACGACACGGCGATCAAAATATCAGAACAGGACCAAGAACCAACTTGTGTAGAAAAACAGATAGACAAGATAAACAAGGTGAAGAAATGTAAAAAGTAAAAAGGTAAAAGTGTTGAAACAGCCGGACCCGAGTATATCTTCATGTAGAGAGATAGATAGATATAGAGAGATAGAGAGAGAGATAGATGAGTCTCAAAGACGAGAAGGACATCAGCACCATCCCCCAAACTAAACCCTCAAATCCCTCTCCAATCTCCCTCTCAACCTCTCAATCCTCTCCCTCTTACTCCCCACACTACTCACACTATCCGAAGGCGCGACGCTCATCGCACCCCGCGGATTAAAATAGCTCTTCCCATCCTCATCCACCCCCCTATCAAGACAACTTTTCCTATCATTCCCATCCCTCTCGCCCCTCCTCTCCGCATCCCTCTCCCGATCGCCCGCATGCGTATACCCACTTCCCTGTTCCCTGTACCCACCGCCATACCTCGCACTCACCACCGTCGACGCCGGAAGCGGGACATCCCTCGCGCGACTACGTTCGCTCACCGCACTAACCGACACATCGTCTCGCTCCCACGTCGCTTCGGATCGGGGAATGCGTTCTCGCGAGCTCGCGCCTACTTTTGACGGTGAGAATTTAATCGTAGTATGTGTATGACTGATCTTACTTTTTGCATCATCGCCTCTCGGCGCCTGTGAATATCGGGTTGGAGCTGCAGAAACTTGCGTTGGAGCAGGTCCGTACTCGTATTCGGATTCGCGCACGCTGACTTGACTTTTGGGGGCGCGCGAGACTTGGGTGGGGGCACGACTGACTGCTTTGACGGTGCTGGTTCGCTCGCTGACTTTGGTGGGTGCGATGCTCTGGGCTTTGTCTCGGATGTTGATTGCGGTGGGTGGTCTTGCCGTTCCGGCATTCGAACCTTCGCCCTGATCCGCTGCGTTACGACGGATTTTCGTGCCTGTGTTTGAAGGCGCGACGGAGCTGTAGTAACTACGTTCTTCAATGGGGCTTAACACGCCCTCTCTCTCACGTTCGCGATCACGTTGAATGCGCGAGTAGCTAGAGGCAGGGGGAGGCATAGGAGCATGTGGCGCCTCAATAACTCTATATCTGTGTGCTGGGCCTCCGACCGAAGAACCTTTCGTGCTGCTTGCGATGGTTTCCGCATGACCGGTGGTGTAGCTTCTTCTTAGACCCGGCATCGGTTTACGCTCTGGTTCTAATTCGTATTCGGGATCTTCGCTTTTGACCATTGCATATGCGAATGCAGCGCCTGCAGCCGCGCCAAGAAAAGTACCCACGAGAGCTTTGTTGGTCATGCCGAAGAGCCCACCATTCTTCTCTTTTTCTTTTTCTTGCTCGGCGCGTTCTACCTCGTCTACGTAGACGGTTTGCTCCTCGTCATGACTCATGTCTCGGCGGATACTAACTTGTGTACCCGGATGTCCATGACCTGCATAAGTTTCTCTCCTCATAACTCTGGGGAAAGTTTCTGCTCTTCGAAAAGGTGGGTGTTCTGGAGCTTGAGATTGAGGAGCATGGGAAACTTGTGTTCGGGCAGGTGCTCTGGAAACGTGACTTGGAGCTACAGCACGGTATGCTTCGTCTGAAGTAGGGGAAGTGGAACTACCAGCTGTACTTCTGGCAACTTCTTCTTGCCATTGAAGAACACGACGAGCTTCTTTTTCAGTCGCAGCTGTGACTATAGTTGGGGGACGGGAGGATTCTCGACCGCGGGAAGCCATGTTCGGTTATGGCGTCTAGTGAATAATTTGAATTTGTGTTCCGTTCTTTGTGTTGTTTGTTGTTCAGGATAATTGTGCTTATTTCGAAATCTAATATGCAATGTATTTTCTTATACTTGTGAAAAGGCGAACGAATGCTTGTGTATGTGTGTGTGTATGTATATTCCCCAACTGAAGTAAAGATGAATGACTCGAATCGAGGTGGCGTGAACGGTGTAACGTGTTGACGGTGAGAGGGGAACGGTGAATGTATGTATTTCAAATAATGCCCAAAATTATGCCGAGAAAAAGGAACATCCGATGAAAATGGAATGACGACCCTGATAAGTTCTAAAAAAAAATGTGACTCCGGTTTGGTCTTGGTTGTTCCTAGTTGCTCCGCTTGATCTGCTAACTACCTATGTAGCTGTGGATTGTGGATATAAAGGCGGTCAGCGGTCAGATGAGATGAGGTGAACTCGTCGTGTGTGCATGCACATTTACTTCATTCAGCAGGTCCCAGAATATGAAACACACAGGTAATGATTGTTAACGATTTAACTTGTCAATCGTTTTTGTCGTTAGATCGATAGATTAAGGTCGATCGTTGAATTAAGTCGTATTACGCTGATGATGCAGAAAAGATCCACGCCGGGAAGCACAAACAAGCTCTCCGGAGGTTAGAGAGTGAGACAAAAGGGTTGATTGTTGATGAAAATAGCTGAAGATGGGTTGCGTGGTGATGCAAGATTCGCAAGAAGGCAGTGTTGGCGTTTGATAAGTTTCGGAGGTTGGGAAAATGCGGTAAAGAAGCAGGCAGGAGGTAGGAACACTTGACAAGTAATATCTGTAGGTAGGTACTAGGTATTTCTCTGTACCAAACGAAAATCTGCCGCGATAGGAATTGGATTATGAGATGAAAAAATGGGTCCTTGGAATTATGAAACGAATTTAATAAGGAATTCTGCAAATGGAGATAGATATGTAAATGTAAATAAATGCACATGTATATGGATATGTATATAATGGGTGAACTGACTTGTTTAACGAGATATCAAAATTCGTACTGTGCACCGAATTCCTCGTTAATAAAAGGATCTCCCCAACTTTTCCACAGAAAACCAAAAATTTAATTGATATATATGAACGTATATAAGTATTGTTTGTAACTGGATCTTAAACTTTGAATTGATGAATAGACATTAAGAGGAAGAAGAAAAGAGGAATCAAAAGAGAAGTCTTGTCGAAGCATTAAGTTTATGCATCGGTATGTGGTGTTGAACTTTCGAGTCCGGAGTAAATAGTATATATGCATACTGCAAGAGAATGGAGAACATTATCTAGTTTTGACAGTTGTCGCCTCATACTAATCCCTCGATTGAATGGATCAAGAGACCGATACAAATCAATCAAATCAAACCCATGTATACTCGTTCGACACTACAGCACATCCCCACAACTTTTTCCTTTTTCAGCCAGCGAGCCAGGCGTAGCGAACAAGTTTTTCTGTGATTTGATCATGTCGAGAACTTTGAACTCCATCGATTCAATCAATACGGTCCAAGCATTTTTGACCACTCTTGACCACTCTTGACCACTCTTGACCACTCTTGACCACTCTTGACCACTCTTGACCACTCTTGACCACTCTTGACCACTCTTGACCACTCTTGACCACTCTTGACCACTCTTGACCACTCTTGACCACTCTTGACCACTCTCGAGTCTCGAGTTTTGAGCCACTCACTCACCTAAATTCTTATGGG